GGCTCCCGGAGCTTGCGGGTTCCCGCACCAAGCCATTGTCGCTCCTCGCTTGGTCAGCGACGAAGTAGTAACTCAAGTCCGAGTATTGTTGGTGCGAGAATGCGGGAGTGTGGTGGTGCGGGAGTCATTTATTCCAAGCGCCTACAATTCGAAAATGAAAACCCAGCAGTAGCTGCACGCTTTTGGTTTCCCCACTTTCACACAAAGGGGAACCTCTGAGCAAGGCACTCTCACGCGCCTTCAAGTGCACAAAGCCAATGACACGGTGTCCTGGGTTGTCCTGCGTTTGGAGCGCCTCGTATTATTGACCTTCCTTACCCACAGTTTACGCGGACAAACGCCTCAATCTACTCCCCCACCACCACCACCACCGCGCTTCCGCGCCGCTGTTTTTTCTGGTACAGTATTTGTTCCGTTAACAAAGAGCAGTGACTGCCCCGTGCGCGTGGGGACCGATTCTGCGCCCCTCTCGGGCTCCTGCAGCCGCACGCAGAGGGACCTGGAGTAATATTCACCAGGTTCGTTTCACTCTTTTTGCTTCTCCACAAGCAGTCTTGAGCAAAAAAGAACCCCTGAAGAATGTAAGTGCTAGCTGTTCTTGAAAGTAACGTGGGAACCATGGAAATAACCCTAGAATGGGGCTCAAATGTCAGAGAACCACAGGAGGCCCCACCGATTTGAGTCCCTGAAGAACCTAGGAATTTAATGACCTCTTTTTTTTAAGCTATTCATGCCTCTTTACTGGAGAGACGGGGGTAGTTCTTCCTTTCCTATCTTCAAAAACAACTTTGGGGACTTTTTTTCTTAAGAGGTTTTTGCTTTTAAACATAGGGGAAACCCGGATAGCAAACAGGGTTAGTCAGAAAAATCCTCTTAACTCTGATGAAGTTTTATGGATTCCTGAATTCTAAAACATGACAAGTCTTGGCACCCTTTTGAACTAAAGAATTTGTAAAGCCGTGTGACGTTCAAACCATTAATATACAGTAAACAGGATACGACAAACAGCTCCCTTTCTAGGGCAGTATTTCTAATCCCCTATATCCTGTAAAATAACCTATCACTTACGGGAACCATTGTCTACTTTGATATTTGAAGGAATTAATAACGCTGCTGCATCTCCATGCCAACAACATAAGATATTAAGGTGCATGCAAGGACAAAGCCTGATTCCTAGAAGTTGGAGCAGATCTCACCGGCAGAGTCGAATCATTCCTGTTGTTAGTTACCATTAAAAGAAATATATCTGCCCTACTGCCAATTGGAAGTAATCTGGAAAGTCACAGGTGGATGACAGTGGTAGGTAACATTATTCTTCCCAATTCTTCAGTGCTCCAGGTATGTGTGTCCTTTGAATCGTGACTTTGTAGTTCCTCTCATTAGAGATGGAATGTTTTCTTCACCTCACTGAGGTTGCACTTAGATCATTCCACTTGCTTTTGGCTAAAGGAACATAGGCAGAAGTGACCGTGTGACAGTTTTGAGCCTGACCTTAAGAGGTATGGCATGTTTCTGCTTTCTTCTCTTCACACCAGCCTTTCACAAATGTGGGGACCATGCCTGGGTAGTCAGCTGGCCCAATAAGAATGAGAGCTATGGAGCAGGTCTAGAACCACTCCCAGCTTGGAGCCAGTGACCTACAAAAGAAAAATGATTATTGTTTTAAGTGCTGTGTTTGGGGACAGTTTGCTCCCCAGAATTAACACTGCAGTCATTGACTGGTATAATAAGACACAGCTCCTTTGGTATTGGCCTTGAAGGTGCCAAACTTAGTCTCTGAGGCAGCTCTTTGATAGTGGGTCTTGGAAAGACATCTTTTGTGGAAGTTGGTCAAGTAAGAAACCCAGAAAGTTTGCAGCACAGCATTCTAAAGACAGTAGGTACAGTAGGCAAGGGCTGATGTGGCCAGCAGTCCTAGAAACATGCTAATGATCATAGACTAGGAGGTCTCCATGTTGTAACTAGATTGCTTTTACTTCTTTTTTTTTTCATATTACACAATTTATTTTCTAACTATACAGTGGTTCATTACTACAGTCTCATCATCAATTTTCAAATAATACAAGATGGACTTTTTAAAAAGCCAAGTCTCCTTTCCTTCTCTACTTCTCTTTCCACTCCTCACCCTGCACACATACTGAGGCATCTCATACCCCTCCACAGGTAACCAACCATAAATGATCATTGAACATTGAAGCTTTAAGACTTTTTTCTGTGCATATACATACACGTGCATTTATATAGATAAAATATAAATGAGATGATACAATGTGTATTAGGTAGAATGCTTTTGTACTTTTCTTCGTGTTTATGTCCCCTTTTTCTAATTACCTAAGACGGTCTTTTGTAAAATTTCAGCCTGTCTTCAGTGATATTACTAACCAAGGGAAGAGGTTTTCCTGCTTTATATCATATTTATATGTGTAAAATGGGAAAAGGATCCTGTAGGGCCCAGTTTAGGGATGGGAGTGATAACATGAGAACCACGGAAAATTAAATTCTTCGAATGGCAGCCAGACGGGGCAACTGGAAATGCTCTTTCTTGAGCTAATCCTTGGACATTCTCAAAGTGAATAGTCCCAGAGAACAAGAAGAAGCTGTGCTACCTTTTCTGACCTAGCCTCTGGAGTCACAGCCATCATTACACCTTATTCTACTGGTCACACAAATCAGTCCTAATTCAGTGCGCAAGGTCACCCTACATGAGGACATAAATACCAGAAGATGAAGACCACTGGGAACCATATATTAGAAATTAGCCACCACAAGGGCATCCACAGTAGTGAATTTCGAGTGGCAATCTTTAAACTTATTAGATTCCCCCATTGCAGTTGGGCAAAACCCCAGGTTACCAACAACTGTGTAGACTTTACGATAATAGCCAGAAAAATCTCTTCTTGTGCCTCACCTTAAGGAATGAGTGGTTCTGGGCAACTGTTCAGTTATAGTCTGCTGTTAACCTACCTTGTTTGTGAGCCACTCTATCCATCCCTCTCACTGTTCCTTTCTGGGCTTCTACAAAGGTGATTATTCATAACTCTCCCATATTCTGGGTCTGCGAAGGAACCTACTCCCCAAACTCACTTTTTGTTTTAGGTATCATGTTGCCTTTTATGGATCAGAACCTCTTAAACATTGTATATTAAACAAGTTATAAGAGGCATGCCCTAGAGAATGACCATAACCAAAATAATTTCGGGGGGGCATGTTAAGTTTCCAGAATCCAGTGAAACAATTTTTGAGAGTGACATTTGTACAATCAAATACAATCAGGTAAAATAAGCAGAAAATATAAAGTTTTGAATATAGAAGAGAAATTAAATTCTTATGAGTTGCATGTGTAATTTTACCATGTAATGTTTCTAGTAGAATAAGTACTTAGTCATTTCATAATTTGTATTTGAAAAGCAAATTCCTCTTTAAAATAGTGCTTTAGTCGGAAGCATTTTATTAATTCTATCCACAAGTAAATTAAAGAACATTGTATTGCTTTATTAAAATATTTGAAATGTTTAAGATGGATTATACTTTATTCTAGTTAGAATTTCTAATATTTTCAATGTTAAAACCAATTTTTTATAAACAGATTTTGCCTCCTTTATTATAAAATTAATTAAAAGTCCAAATGAAATGTATTGAAGACATTTTTATTAGTGATTTAAGATCATATTAATCTTTAAAGCTTCTGAATAAAATTGGTTTCTTAAAAATTCAGGATAAATGCTATAGTATTTAATGAAAATACAAGATAAATATCTTTGAAGGGGAAAGATCTGAAATAAATTTCCATATTTGTGAGCTGACCAGTTTTCAAAGGCATTCCATGCTACTAAGTTAAAATGAATTAATAGAATTTTTTTATTTATTTCCTGAATCACCCTAAAGACTAAAAAAAAACAAACCGGAGACTTGTTTTGCTCTCTTTGGAGATTTTTCCTATTGGTGAGCTAATCAGAGTGGGTGGCATTATTTTAGTTACAGTAAATAATAATAGCAATATAAACAATATTAGCTATTATTAGGATACTACTAGATATTTCATGTTTATTAACCTTATGACCTCCATATAATTATCTCCATCTTACAGTTCACGAGTTGGAGATTGAATCCTTCTTCAAAGTCTATGCTCTTAACCAGTAGAACTTATCAAATGCAACCTTGTTTCAACCGTTCTTGTCCAAACATCAAGGATGAAAAGTTTTGCCCTCTGCTTCAGTCTTGACATCAGCCTCATGCCCCAGCCCCCCAAATTCGTAGGACACTGCTGCCGCTTTGCAGCCTTACTCGCCTCCCTGTTCTGCCTCACACAGCAGGCACCACTGCAGATGGCTGAGTGTTTCTGGCCGTGGTCCCTATCTCTCTCTTTCCAGACACTCACTTCTCCACCAGCTGCCAACATATTCCCCCTACTCCAGCCTGTGGCTCCCATCCTGCTCTTCCTGTCTGCTGCACTGTGTGAGTAGACTTTCCATATCTGCTGTTGACACCGACTGCTAAGCAAAAAGAGAGAAATTTAAGGCCAGGATAAGAAGCCAATCAATACAGAGGATAAAAAAAGTCACGGGAGGACCATAATACCAGACAGAAAAGAATGAAATAAATGGGAAGAGGAATTGAGAGTTTTAAAATATTGTTAACTCCCCCAATGTAAAGGAGAGAGAAATAAAAATAGTTCCATGGTTCAAATTAATATTCAAGAGTCCATGGATAGGTATCGTAATCGATAATATCTGTATTTATATGGGGTCAAAGTCCTAAGTATCGACAAAATGCTTTTGAAATTTAGCATTATCTTAATAGTGTTGACTGAATGTGTACTTTTTTAAAATACACATAACAACCCAATCACAAAGGTATCATCATTTTGCAGATTATGAAACCGAGGCGACTGTAGGAGTACAACAGCTTCACCAGGGCCGCCACCAAGCGGAGCCAGGTAGAGTAGAGGAGCCAGGCAAGAAACACATCCAGCCGGCTCCAGACTGCTCTTAGCAGGCCACTCAGCTTTCCCCTGCTCCTCCTCCTTATTGTCGTCTTCAGGGTTGAAAGCATGCTCAAGCCAGCTTCCTGATCCTGTGCTTTCCTTATGAATAGGCCAACACCGGTGCCATGTGATTTGAGGTAGGTGAAGGAGCCCCGTCACAATTCAACAAGCCTAAAAGTGGCTTATATTCTACTCGAAGAGATTTTCAGAGCCCACTTACAAAGTCTCTGTTTTTATTTAGTTATACGGGTAGGTAAAGAACATGAGCATGTTAACAAGGATTAATTCTGTTACCACTGGGTGTGACTGAGGAGAAAGTGGGTCCCTTTGTGATCAGTACAAACTAGAGAAGTAAGCCTTGAAGAGGCAAAGTCGGAGTCCCTAATCCAGCCTTTAGTCTCTTAGATCTGTCAGGAATATTATAAATTTACTCTAACCTAATCGACCTACAATTGAGGACACTGAGGCCTAAAAAATTAAGTGACTTGCTTTTAACACAGCTAAGCAGAATGGGAATTCGAACCCAAATTTTCCTTATTTTCACAGGCTGCCTTTCTGAGGTCACTGAGCTGGGAGCTGGGGAAGAGGGACTTCGTTCTCTAATGCCCTCGAGTTGCATGGAAGGAGTTGTGCAATAATAAGCGCCTTTTAATTGACTGGGCGGGGCCGGGCAGGACTGGGAGGGACTGACGGGGAGATGATGGCGGCAGGAAGCCAGGTACAGGATGACAGAGGCAGGCTTGGCTCTAGGAAGGCATAGAAGGTAGGGAAATCACGGAGCTGAGGCAAACCTCAGGAAAGGTCTAAAAATTGGCTAGGCAAACCGCGGACTAAGATGTAGACAATCATCGGCTTTACAATTTTGCCTATAGCTAACCATATCCAGATGTTCAAAATTATTTTGCTTTCAGTTTTTCCTCTCGGTGTTCTGTATATTTTTATAATGTGGTTTCCATTTATTATAAGCCAATTTAGGTATTTCCCAACGCTTATATGACAAAAAAACTTAATTATTTTTATATCGTTCTATTGAAATTTTCGGTCTTTAATATTTTTAATTTACCCTTAGCCCGAAGAGCCCTTTGATCATTAAGGTAATATTTGTGCAGTTAGGCAGGAACTAGATGCTAGAGCAAAGGTGCTAGACCCTGCCTCTCAAGCTCTGAAGTACTAAGCTTCCAAATGACAGAGCTGAGAAGAGCAAGGGACAGATTTGTATTGAAGTAAGATGCACATCTGGTTGTCAGACCTGTGGTGGCACTGAGTATTTTTGAGTGCAAAGTTTTCAAATGGCAACAGTAGGTTGAAATTTAGCATTAGGTTTTTCTGTCAGTGATGTAGATATCTTGAAAGGAGACTAATGGCATTCGCAATTGTAATATACGTGATTGACTTTGTGGAACACTGTTCTCACCAAAACTTCTTAGCCAGGATCCTGTTTTCCAGTAGCAGCTTTTTGGGGTGAGATAAGCGAATGAGATAAAGGAATGAAAAAGTTAAGATAAGAAAGCAAAAATCTTTTATGTTCTCCAGATATGCTGGCTGTTTCTTGTAGTCTTATACAAAAAATATGTCAAAGATCCGATTTATGAAAAAAAGAAAAGACAAGTTATGGTAAGGCCTAAATAGCCTAAGGCCACTCAGTGTGCAAGGTAACGAGCTCTTAATTTTTTTAAATTTTAGAACTTATAAAGTTAACATCAGTCTGAAATGATAATATTAAGAAAGCAACATAAGTAGCATGTGAAAAATCCTCTTGAACTATAAAGAGGTAAAATGTTTTTTAAAAATATTCTCACAGATAACAAATGAACTTTGAAATGATATAGGGGAATATGAAATCAAATACAACTTAATCAAATACAACTCCGAGCTGCCAAGGATTAGCTCCAGAAGGCGAATTTCTCAGTGGGGAGGGGCAACTGATTTACCTGCTACCTGCTCTGAGAATTTCGTCTTCCCCTATGGCCTTTTATCACTGAGCCAGAAAGTATACTTTTTTTATGTAACATTCTTGTTTTACTCTGCATTCTATTCTCCTCAGTTGTGAAGCTCTCTAGCATTTCCTTCTGTTCTCATTTACTTTTATTCCTACTCAGGACCCCTCTAGTTCAACCTCAAAGGGAGCCAACCCCAATTCTCTCATAACCAGGCACCGGCCCTGCTCCGAGCAGCCATTCTTATTCCATGTGACTTTGTTCTCTTTGGCTATGGTTATAACTGACTGATTGAACTAGCAAGATGCACCTTGTGTAAACTGGGCCTATCGTCATTGTTTTCTCAGGAATTTGGAATGGGGACAAACAGACCATCTACGGTCTTAATGTGCCCGGAACCTCGCATATGTGTGTTGGTAGCTGTGGGAGAGCTGTAGTCTGCCATATGCGACCTGAGATCAGGGAAAGCCCAACAGCTGTGCCTCAGCCCCAGAGAGGAGCAGACAACAGGGCAAGAGAGAAGTGTGTGGGTTCCTGGTAGCCTTCTGGACCCAATCTATTCCAAACTTTCATAGGACCTAACGAACGCTTTTACAATACGGGACAGCCCTCTTTCTAAAAAAAATAGAAAATTAGAAATAAAAAACTAGGTTTGAATATGCATACTTACTTAGAATGGGAAGTAAATCACAAAAAATGACAGATTTTTAAAAGTTGATCGTTACCCAGAAATATAAAATATACTATCTTTTTTATTAATCAAGTGCGTGACACGCCTCTAAAATAATTTTTCTACATTTTTTGGCTACATACTCATTGTCTTTTAATGCGATGATGTCACGATATTATTTTCTATGGAGAGAATATAAAGACAATTAAATTTTTCTTCTAGCTTAGAAAATTAAATTTTTCCTACTGTCGATAACTTAGAATAATTTCTATCAGCCTCACATCCTGTCATTGGTAATGTCATATCAGTTTCTAAGATTGTTTTCAATTTATGGGAGTTTATATCATGTTTCTCTCATGGAAAAGATGTCAGCACATCCCAGTTTTCTCATGCAGTGACTAATGTTAAATAGTCTTTAAATTGAAAATACTCAAGTAGTTTGCTATTTAATGTTCAGCGAGTAGTGATTATGAGTCTTATGTCATCTCTATGGATATCACTATTTAATATCAAACCAGTGACGTCTTAACATCTTTTGCTAATGTGTTCCTATAATTCACTCAACTGTGGTATGAAATAATCCAGAGATTACTCATTGCTTATTTTCAGAATTTATCTTATTGCTGTTGGCATGGTCTGAAATTATGATCTTGAATTACAATTTTTGGTATGACCATCATCTTTATCACTTTCGTTTCACAGTTCTTTAAGTTTTATCTACATAAAAATATATATTCAAAAATAAATTCAGTAGTTAAATTTTAAAATGATAAAAGAAGGTACCTTCCATATCCTTTCAAATCGGGAGTCTAATCTTATTGTTTTCTTGAAATGTTCCAAAATGTCTATTCAAATTACATGTTACAGTTAATATGCACACTCAAGCTTTATCATCTTTTTGAATAAATATTTTTTGTCTTGTTTATATATGAGTTCTTTTCTAAGTCTTCAAAAAAACTATTTTAGATTCTTCAACCTTTCACTGTGCCCATGCTGCAAGGTTAGAGCCTTGTAATGAACAGACCGTCTTGTTCTACGCAGACCCGGAGAGAAATCCAAGCTAGCATATGCTTAAATGCTCCTCCTAAGGATTAGAAATGGTTCGTCTAAGACATAAAACTAAAAAGAAAACATGCAACTGTTGCAAAATACTGAAGTAGTGCATAAATTCAGGTACTGTACAGTCAGCTTTCCTCACTTCCAACCCTCTCCCAAGAGAAAAAATAGCCAGTAGCGGCTGGTTCAGATTCCAGGAATAAGTAGAGACACAGAGATCTTAATCAACTGTAGTTAAAATGACTTACTTTTATAATTTTATGAAAACCCTTGACCATATGACTATATTGCTAGGGCCTATCCCAGGTTCTCTATAGCAGTCAGTTAAAGTAAAAGGCCCTAAACTTAAAGCTTATTAACCTGAGGTCCAGCTGCCCACCTGCCCCAGCGTTCTTTGAATCACCTCAGTTCCCTTGTAATATAGCCACCTTTTCAGCTTAAGCTACATCAAGTTGATTCCCTTTTTTTGCAAACCAAAGTGTCTCATACAAGACTCCATTATATTTTTCCCAGATGATATAGCATCAGACCTGTGACTGGTATGCTTAATGCTAGTCCCAGTCCAGCTGGTTTTGTACTTCCCTGCCAGGTTCATCTTCCTAAAGCATAACTCGGTACAAACTCCTCAACTTAGCTTTAAAAGTAACAGGCTTCAGAACACACTGCCCCAACGTATGGTACGTTGACATACTGAATATCTTAAACCGAACGAGTTTGATAAAACAGCAAAAACAGGAAGATCACTCTGACCTCCTCCCCACCATACACCCCATTTTCCCTGAAATAGGGCATAAAACTCTCGTGTGAGAAGTGTTCTCTCCATACCCAGAGGAAAGGAGAATCCTTATCTCTGAAGACAGAGGGACGCCAAGAAGAATCCCAACAAACAGGCCTTGCTAAGTTTTCCACAGTTCATTACAATTACTTCCTACTCCTTAACCTATCGTGTTCCTCCACGACTGTCCACCCTTCATCAAACCTAGCAGAAAATACTCAGGTCTAACTTTGCATCTCCGTTTCTTTATGAGAGCCCCCATGTAATGTAAAACTTATATAAATTTGTATGCTTTTCTCCTGTTAATCTTTGTTAGTTTCCTTCTCAGGACCTAGCCAAGGTCCTCCTACACATAACTCCCTCCCTCTGGTTGTCAGAGCTACATATGCTTCAGCGTCCATCTCAAATAGCCTCTCTTCCATGAAGTCTTTCCTGATTTCCCAAAGAACCTCCCATCCCCCAAACTAGGTGTGATTTTTGTCCTCCATTGACCTGTTGACTCATCGTAGCTTTTGGTTCTCGCTTTGCTAATGAGACCATATTTTACCTTCATTTATGATCATTGTATAAAACAGCCTTACATCCTACACGAGGGCTAGACTGCAAAGTCAGCGAGCAAGGAAAAAAAAAAATTAGACTCCAAAAAAATTCCCGGAAATTGCTTAAGAATGCACCAATTCAGAGAGCAACTTACTGGTCTCCCTAGATCAACTGCACTCTCTTCCAGCTTTAAAAGACATCACTGTTACAGCCCAGATGAAGTGAATCGGCCTACATTATAAGTACCACAAAACCTTCAAAGTTAAAATCATCCTCAGCTTGATGAAATGTCCACACTTTGAGAGTCACAAGGACTGAGCAGGACAGTTCATCTGCCATACATACACACTCCCTCCAAAGCCTGTGCCAACTGAGCAGAATACGAGAAACAGCCTTACCTTTTTTAAATTCTTCTCTCTGTCTCTCAGTGCATATGGTTGAATTCATGTAAATTAAATGTACGCATAATGGGATTTTATAGTAGAGAAAGTGCATTCAAGAGTAGTGTAAGATACAGACTCTTGCATTGAATAAGTTTGTTTGATTCCTGGCTCCATGACTTAATAGATTTTTAACCTTGGCCAAGTGATTTAATTGCTTGACCAAGTGATTAATCTTGACCAAGTGATTTAAACTGAGGGGTATTTTCTCTTCCCCTCAGTTTACGTCTGCAAAAAGGACTGCTAATAAGGCCTAATTAATAAGGTTGTTGTAAGGATAAGATTAGCTAATCTATGAAACAATATTGCATACCTTCTAGACTTTCAATGACAAGTGACCTAATACATATAAAGCACTTAGAATAGTGTTCTGGCATATATTAGTGCTCAATAAATATTAGCTATTATTACTTATCTCTGTCTCACTTTCTTCGTATGCTTGTAAAGAGTTAAATGAGAAGCACTAAGAACAGTGCCTATAATAGAGAAAGTACTCTATAAAGGTTGGCTATTATTATTATTGTTATTATTCTTGTTCCACTATTGTGTCCACCCTATTGCAATTTTCTTGGTCACAGAGATGGGGATACACAACTTTGTATCCTTGCAGTGACTCAAATAGTGCTAGTGCATGAGTCACTAAAAAAGTCATAAAATCAGATAATGTTTCCCTCAAAACTACTGAATTACATTGATTTTAATTTTTATAAGTTCATAAAGTTTAATAAAAGAAACATATATGCATGGATACCTGAACAATTTCCTACCCTCTTAAGCTGTCTTTATTATCTTCTGCAAAATTCTTCATTGCAAGAACTCCCCCAGATGGCACTGAATAACTTTCTGAATAAGGAGTTATTCAAGTACCAGAGTTGGACTATGAATTACTTGGGGATAAACGTTGACTTTGGCTAGCTTCTCCGAGTTTTATTAGGGATATTTTCGTTATAGAAACCGGTCTGTATAGCTAGTCATTTATGATCTGTGGTTTGAAGACACCTTGAAAATGATGCCAGGACACCCAGAAATACATAATCCTAGATTTGTAACTGACTACAAACCTTTTCGTATCTTAGGTCTTCCATCTTATAAATAAATAATACCAACTGACCTCAAAAATTTGGTGATGAATAATTAACACAATGCTTCAGAAGTTAATATGACTACAGTCTATTAGTTAAAAGTGTCCATGGTTGGAGATGACATTTTTTTCCATGCATATACTTATTTAGGAAGGTTTTTCTCTCACAGCTCACATTTTCCAAATGGACCACGTGGAGGGATAGAGAACAGGAGACTCTGAGCACCACCCAACAACCTTTCCGATCAGTGGGGTGACAGCAGCGACAGCCAGACAGAGCTCTGTAAACGTAGGTCGGTGTCAAACACTCCCCTCTCTTAGTTTAGCAAATGGGGAAATGTTATTCTCCTAGCAACTGGTAGGATCATTTCTCTTAGGAAGGAGTCCCACCTTTATTGGGAATATTCCCTGATTAGCCTGCTTGGAAGCTGCTTGGAAGCTGGGACCTGAGTGGGAAGAACGGCCTCGCCTAGAATGAAGAAAGAAATGGGTTGACGGCGCTGGAGAGGCAGAGTGAAGGTGGAGCCCCTGCGATGACAGAAAGCTGGCTGTGCCCTGTGAGATGCATCCACCCGGCAAACCGCAAATCCTTGGCAAAGACATTAACCTCAGGAAAGTGCTGGGCGGGTAAGGAATTCCAGTGGAAAGCAGCCAATAGAGCACTCCTCATGTCCACCTTAGCCTAAGGCAGGAACGCAGGGAGCCCAGAGGGCGCAAACCTCAGGAATTCTCAGAAATCTCCAAGCAGGATCCGGACTCCCAGAGTCTGTAACACAGGTAGGTGCTGGCACCAAGTTTTCCCCAACCTCGGGAGGATGGCGAGGCCCCAGTTTTATCTGGTTTCCATCAGCAGTAGTATTAGGGTAAAGGTAGCTTATTGTCGAAATTGTGAATGTTTCAACAAAATGGGATGGGGGAATAAAAAATAAACATTTTAAGTACTTTTAATTAAAACAGTAGAGCATTTTGCCTTTAAAACCAGGCAGACCACTTTCAGTGTCAGAGTGGAAATAAACTGTAAGAAGGACACTTCCTTGCCGTTTCAACAATTTGGAGCAAAAGGTAGAAAGTATTTAAAACAGAGATTGCTTTACTCTATTGTAGCATCTACCCAAATCCCATCTAGAAGTTAAGGACTCTCAAGGAAATATAAATTTTTTCCTTTCTTATCTGTAGAATGAATTTTTTAAAAAACAAGGTTGACCTTTTTCTTTCTTATTTAAAAGGTTACATTTGGCCATTTGGGAAAAGGTTTAAAATACAAAAGAGTAAATCCATGCCTTTTTAAATTATAAACTAAATCGATCTCTGGCGTCCCTGAAATACAAAGATTATTCTCAATATTATCCCCGGTATGAGTTGTATATGCCGAGAGCAAATTACAGAGCTGTCGCTGTGTCTTTGGGAAAAATAAAAAGATAAAAGAAGAAAGAACTGTTTGCCCATTGAATTATCAGCACTCTTGAAGGCACATGACGAAAACAGAATTGAGCCAGCTTAGCCAAATATGGTGATAAATTTGTTGGCTCACGTGTCCAACCCATGGATCTGGCATGGACAGTGCTAACAAAGCCTCTCGCTTGCAGGATGCTCTCTCTCCATCTTTCTTCACTGCTTCTCTT